CTGGATTACTTTGCAAACTGCTAAAATAAAATGCTCCTGCTCTAAGGTCAAGTATTTTTTTGTTTCTCTGAACTAGTATTATGGAGATATGAACCGCTTAAGGACAATGCCAGTTCTTTCAATAATTGCCTTACTTTGCCACATCCCACAGTCTAGCAGCAATCTTTCTTCTCTTTTCCCATTTTCAGTTACAAACGCTTAACTAAGAATTTTCTGTAATGAAGTAGCAGCAACACAGTCAGCCAGTGGGGAGAGGTCTATATGAAAACAGAGAAAGACAATAGAGACAGAGATTGTTGAAGAAGATGGCAGAACAAAAGAGAAAAGAAACAAGAACAGCAAGTGATGAGAATTGCCTATTTTCGTTATGTGCTGTGATCTTAAAACCTACTCGTGGCTAACTCTCGAGCAGGTTTTCAAAGACTCTCAGGCGGAGCAGCTGATGGATTCAGACCATTTCCTTTAGGTTGGATTCCTTACCAGTAGGCTACCAGAGTTCTCTAATTATGCTATCCCATAAACCAGGGATTTCCAAAGGAAATGCTGATAGTGGAAGATGTGACTGCTATGGAACAAAAAGAACTCTGTGGCCATATTATGATTTCTCACTACATAAAATGGACAACTGTTTAGAGAAGTGCAGGCAATTCTTTTTGCCTTTATGTGGATTTTTGTGACTTTTCTTTTAATCAGCCATATTGGTTGCCATTGTCCTGCCATGCTAGTCCTAGTAGTGAAAGAAGGCAGGTGGTGGAATGTGGAGTGATGGGATGATGTGACCTGCTATGACAGGTTTTTCTTTTCATTTTCCTTCAAGCTCTGTGGGTGCCCCACACTTCAAATTCCCAGCTGTATTCTGGATAATGAGAAAAATGATTGGTATAGTCTGGTCCTTTAATTTGTCCCTGCTTACAGCCTGAGTTTTTATTCCTCATTAAGAGAAAAATCAAAGAGTGAGAATTAAACACCTCTTGATTTATTATCTTACTGAAAATGAAAGCTGAAAGTTGTGGGACAGGATGAATGGAGGACCAGCCAATGAGTGAGCTGCTGCAGGAGGCCACTGTCAGCAGGCAACATCTGGACTCTCACTTCCCCATTGAAGGAAACAGTGAGCAATATAACATGCAGAAATACTTTGGAGTAAAGATAAGAGGTTCAAACAAATTGGGTTTTTCTCTCTTTGAGTATTAGGATTTGATTTACATCGATCTTTTGAAAACTACTTCTCAGCTCTCAACTTCATAGCTGGCCCCCTAGATGCTACTCCTTGAGTATAGTGAGCACACCCAACTCACCTATGAATCTTGTGAGCACATGTAGGTATTCAACACATGGGTAGAACAGGTGCATGTAGGTATGGTGAAATGGTGATGTCTGCATGCCTGATGAGATCACGGCTGTTTGCTTGCTCAGTGAAATAGCAGGTGCATATAAATCGTGAAAGGCTGGGTACATGTTTGCCTGGTAAAATCACAAGTGTGTGAACACATAATGAAGTGGTGAGTGCATGTGGTGAAATAGTGAATCAATACTTGCATTTCGAGATAAACCTACTGGCCTTAATTTGTATGTCTGTGTGCATTTTTTAATAAAACTCTAGCTGCCTCCAAAAGGGATGGGGGCAATATTCACTTGTGTGCTAACACTCCTAGATCAATACTGCCTACACAGCTCATAACAGGCTCAGTGTGATGCAGACAGTCACCACGTGGTCACATAGCTTCCAGGCAACAGGGGCCAGCATGTCCTCTACAGCTGTGCATTGACCTTTTTCCTATGTGACACTATCACACATACTGACTCTGTCAAACACTGCATCGCCTCCCGAGCCTCCAAGGCTGATGTTATGAACAACTCTTCCTAGGGAAGGAGACAGATGGCTAGTGTTTCTCCAGTCCTTATCCCCTGGGTTGCACCCCTCACCTGAGGATTGCTTGCATTTTATCATCAATCCAGTCCCTAAGGGATAAAAAAAAGCAGTCTGTTTATTTGAGTACACACTTTGTAGACTCTCAGCTTAGAGGAACCGCATGACATGGGAAACCAGAGATCAGCACTGCAGATGGCAGGAACGGGATTTGTATTTGTTGTTATTGTCATTGTTATGTATCATCAAGATGCCTGTGACTCACAGTGACCCCAAACACAATACCTTTTAACTCTGTCCTATCCTGAGCCGAAACCTTGTCTCCAACACATCTGACCCTATTGCCCCAGTCACAGTGTCAATCCATTTCATCCAGGGTCTTCCTCTCTCTCCTATGCTGTCCCTCCATCCTCCAAGAACCCATCCTTCCTGGTAACATGCCAAAAATATGTGAGAAAGAGCTTCAAAATCTCTGCCTCAGAGAACAAGTTGGTTTCACCCTCTCCAGGACACTTGTTGGTTGTTCTCTTGGAGGTCCATGGTATGTTCAATTCTCATCTCCAGCACCACAACTCAAAGGCGTCAATTCTTATTCTGTCATCCTTAGTCATTGTCCAGCTCTGTGATGCATAGCAAGTAATTACAAAGACCATGACCTGGATCAGGTGCATTTTAGTCTCTATTCTGATGTTATTGGTGCACTCTGGCACTCTGGAGAATCCCTGACAGCAGATTTTCCTGATCTTGATCCTTTGATTTCCTGGCTGCTGGTTCCAAGAGTGTTACTTGTAGAACCAAGCAAGCTGAAATTGTTGACTATAGTTCTTTAAATTATGATTATGTGGCTGTAGACAAATAAGTAAAATTAGTCTATTACTTCCTTTTTAAAGTGAGAATATTACAGTGCTCACTTCACACCGTTTTAATAAGATGTCAACAAATTGCTAATACAAATGCTTAACAGAGCCCTTATTATCAATTAAGTCTTTAATAAATGGTATTTTCATAAAAGAGATACAATTATTAAAACAGTAATTTGACAGTACATTGAATGCCAGTAGTTCAAGTGGAGTTTAGAAGAAGCCATGGCACCAGGGATATCATTGCTAATGTCAAAATATATCCTGGCTAAAAGCAGAGAATTCCAGAAGAATGTTTATCTGTTTATATTGACTATGCAAAAGCATTTGATTGCGTGGCTCATAACAAACTATAGTTAACATTTAGAAGAATGAAATCCTAGAACATGTAATTGCACTTATACAGAATCTATACCCAGACCATGAAGCTATTTTCTCAACAGAGAAAGGGAACACTGCATGGTTTAAAATCAGGACGTATCCTTTTTTCATATCTATTCAATCTGTATGCTGATCAAATAATTCATAAAGTCAAACTCTATGAAGAAGAATTTGGCATCAGAGTTGGAAAAATATTTATCAAAAACCTAAGTTATGCAGATGACACAACCTTGCTTGTTGAAAGTGAGGAGGATTTGAAATGCTTGCTGCAGAAAATCAAATACTACAGACTCCAATGTGGTTTACATCTCAATATCAAGAAAAAAAGTCTTTATCACCGGGCCAACAGGCCACATCATGATAGCTGGAGAAATGATTGAAATTGTCAATGATTTCATTTTGCTTGCATCAATAATCAACACCCTTGCTACCAGCAGTCAGGTTCCCAGGAGATGTATTGTATTGGGCAAATCCACTGTTAAGGATCACTCCAAAATACTGAAAAGTGGTATCAGTCTGAAGACTAAAGTGCACCTGATTCAGGCCATGGTCTTTTCAATTACTTGCTATGCATCTAAGACCTAGATGACAGAAGAATAATTGATGCTTTTGAGCTGTGGTGTTGGAGAATAGTACTGAATATCCAGATATATGGGGGAAAGTACACCAGAGTGCTCCTGGGGGCAAAGATGGAAAAGCTTCACTGCCCATATTTTGGGCATTGTTGCTAAGAGAGGCTATTCCTAGGAGAGGGACATCATGCTTGGAAAGGTCAGCAAAAGAGAGAAAGACACGCCCCCCCCAACAATATGATTGACACAATGACTGCAACAATGGACTCAAGTGTGTCAGAGATGATGAAGACAGCACAAGACCATACAGAGCTCAGGTCTGTCGTTCATATGGTCAGTATGGGTCATACGCAACTCGATGGCACCTAACAACAACATTAAAGATAATAAGAAAGTTTGGTGAAAGGAAGATCATGCAAATCATTACAGGAGTTTAAATAGATCTGGTCTATAATATTTGAAAGCATGAGTGGCATCCACTTCCTAAACAACATGCCTCTGGAAACTCTATGAACTTTGATAAATGACGATAGTTATAGAAAGGCTTCGGGTCTTTTTTTCATAGGGTCACTATGAGTCGTGCTCGACTCAAAGGCAATTAACAACAACAACAACTACAATATGTACCTTGCACTGGCCAGGCAGCCTGGAGGAGTCTCAGGAATGAGCAGAAATACCAGGAGGTGATTCAATGAGCTTCTCTAGGGAGACTGGAGTCCCAGTGTGGTGCAAATTTTAAGAGTACTTCACTATTAAAGAAAACATTAAACATTCATTTAAGTCCACCCAGACTCCCTGCAGAAGAAAAGTCTGGTGACATAAGTCTGAAAAATCACCTTTTGGAAACACTATGGAACCCAGTTCTACCCTTACACAAACAGGGTTTCCTTGAGACAGAATCAGATTGATTGTAACTGGTAGCTTAGTATAGATTGGCAGTTCTCAATTGGTTACACTTCTCTAATCCTCCAACTCATTGGGTAAAATTTCTCTTTGTAATATTGTATTATTTCTTTTTCTCACATCTACACAAAAAGTTGTAATTTATAGGAATAAATGTGTTGAGATACTTGAAACCAAAGAATTATTGGTTTGGTTAATATATTGCCAAATAAAGAGAAAACTAAAAATAGAAAATTCCATGGTAAACACTATGAATTCACTGATAGCAAATTATCCCCGTGCAAGTGGCAGTCCCCAAGGTTTTTGACTGTATAATAATGCTTCCTCCATGAGTTCAGCTAACAGTATGTGCATGGTTACAGTGTCAAATTGAGATCCCTAACTTTAATTACTTTCTTCATTTTAATTATTCAGGTGCATCTTCCCAGAATCTGGAGAAATTTATAGAAAGGTAAGGATTTGGAAGATGGAAACAAGAATTTGTTTTAAAAACTTAATGGAAACCCTCTACCATTACTAAATAATCACTTTTACTGAACATTAATAGCTTATTAGTCTCTATACAAACAGTGGAATGCAACTTCTTGAGCCAGTGAGCACAGAAAGTGATTAATTTGCATATTTCCTTTAAAGATCCTAAAAAGCATATAGAGTAGATAAAATTTTATCTGTCAGAAATAACTTTTTAGAAGAGCAATGTAAAAAATGTTTTATATTGCATGAAAACAATTATGTACTAATTTGGGGCTTTAAAGTCATTAAATAATACTCCAAGTACCTAAAGTGGAGTCTTGGATTTTTCAAAGTTGACCCCAGATTGTCAGGATGCCCTACAAACCAGGTAACTTTTATTACTAGTAAATGCTAAAAATTTGCTATAAAAATAAGAGGGGGGGGTACCTGTCCCTTGAGGGCTTCAGTTCACTTTTCAATTCTTTGTATTTATGTGGCCTTCCCTAAACAGAAGTTCTTAAAGATTACAGAAAAGGGAGAAATGTAAATTGTATCACCACCAATAAAAATAATAATATGCTAGACGTTTCCCAAGAGCGTTATAGAGGTTGTTTGATCAGCCTATGATTGGTTGCAAAGGTAGCTTCCAAGTGTTTGACATTCAGGTTTCATCTTTGGCTTTACAGCTTGTCCAGGAACCAACTGTTGGATCACCCAGCCATTGTCATATATGCCATGATTGGAAATGATGTGTGCAATGGGTAAGTTATACAGAGGTATTTGCAGTTCTGTCACTCTCTTCTTTCCTCCACCCATTCATACAGATTCTACTCTGTTCTATCTTATAAATGAGCCTAGGTACAAGTGACTTCAAGAGAACATCTGTGAGGTTTCTTGCTCAAATGCTGATGTCATAACAAACGAATGTGCCATGATCAGTTATGAGTTGTAGCCACAATTTTTTTTCTTTTTTTGAGTGGGAGTCCAATATCCAAGATTGAAAAGTATGACATTTTAAACCATAGAAGGTGGAATCTTGATTATCCTAAAATATATCTTCCTCACTCATATTCTAATGGGCATCTTTTTGTAGTATTGCCAGGATAGATGTATGACATTTGAAAAGAAATTGCACATAACTTAAAATGGATCTTATTTGTTTCCATGGTCCATAGTAAGAAAGAAATTTCACTAAACCAACAGTGTATTGGTGGTGGTGGTGGTGGTGGTGATGTTTGGTATTGTTAGGAGCCATAAGGTTAAGTATGACTCATATCAGCCCTATGAACCGCCAACCTGAAACTTGTCCTATTCTGTGCTGTCCTCATCTCTGATGCGCTAGAGCCCATTGCTGAAGTTACTGTGTCTATCAATCTTGTTGAGGTCTTCCTCTCCTTTGTTGATCCATCTTCCCAAGCATGATGTCCCTTTCCAAGGAATAACCTCACCTAAAACTACATGTCGGAAGTATGAAAGATGAAGCTTCACCATCTTTGCTCCCAAGGAGCACTCTGGCTGTACCATTTTTCAAGTCACATCTGATTGTTCTTTTGGCAGTCCAGGGGATATACAGTATTCTTCAACACCACAACTCAAAGGATCAATTCTTCTGTCATCCTTTTGTGTTGTCCAGCTCTCTGATGCATAGCAAGTGATTGGAAAGACCATGACCTGAATCAGGTACACCTTAGTCTTCAAACTGACATCATAACTCCTCAGCATTCTGGAGAGGTCCCTGACAGTGGACTTGCCCAATGCAATACATCTCCTGATTTCCTGACTGCTGTTACCAAGGGTGTTGATTGTTGATCCAAGTAAGATTAAATCATTGACAGCTTCATTCCTTTCTCCATCTATCATAATGTTGACTGTTAATCTTGTGGGTCATAACAAATTATGACTAATTTTGAGAAGAGTGGGAATCCCAGAACACTTCACTGTGCTGATATGAAATCTATACTTAGACCAAGAAGCTGTTATCCAAATGGAGCAAGGGAATACTGCATGTTTTAAAATCAAGAAACATGGATGTCAAGGTTGTTTCCTTTCCCTATTCAATTTGTATGCTGAGCAAATAATTCACAAAGCCAGACTCTAGGAAGAAGAATGTGTCATCAGAATTGGAAAGAGGATATGAAACACTTGCTGCAGAAGGTCAAGGACTACAGCAGCTATTGGTAGTGATTTCAAAATGGTCAATGCTTTTATTCCTTCTAGTATTTTGGGGAAGGTTCTCAAACTCTGTATACAGCAAAGAATATGCTACACATGTGAAAAAATGTCTGTAATCTTGGCCAAAGAAGACAGTAAAGAATTACTGATCTAAAATACCTCCTCACTAGCAACCCACTCACTATTTTGCAAATGAGAAAGGCCCAGGGAGGTTCCATTACATTCCCAGAGCAACATGACTGATTAACATCCAAAATGAACCCAAGTAGTGCTAGACCAGGTCAGCCTGACCCCTGCCTTCCCCTGCACTTTAGACACACTTTACTCACAGGTCTTCCTAAGCTTGTACTGGAAATTCATTTCACTATTAATACAATATCCTTGTTCATGCCAATATCCCCATGAGAGCCCTGGAATGGCTATGATTAAGGAAATGTGGACATAACCAATAAACTGAGTTCAAGGCAGGGAATAGCAGAAATGGTGACGTGTCAGGCACTCCCTCAGAAGCCAGGAGGATGCTTTGCCATCTCCCTGATACCAAAGCCCACCAAGGCTACTTGCTGTGAACGCAGGCACCTACCTCTGTGAACAGTTACTGGGACCCTCCAATAAGCAGCAACAGTCCCTGAGACCTGGCATGAGACAGGAGCCATGTCACTCTATAATTTCATGCCCACAACAGCCCTGGAAGAGAATACAATTGCCACCATTTTACAGATGAGGAAACCGGCTCAGCGAGGTGGAGAAAGTTGCTTATGTAGCTATTGAATAGCAAAGTTGAGTGCTGAACTCTTAGTTCGGTGTTTTTCTACAACTCAAAACTGCTTTATTAGCCTTCTTTCACTCATTCACATTTAAAAACTATATCTTGATCACTGATGTGCCAAACATTTTGTCAGACTTGGAGATACAGTGGCAAAAATACCACATTTCCTGGCCTCAAGGAATTTATGGAAGCTACAGGCCCTTACTCCTATCACAAAACACACAACAAAACTGTGGTCAGAGCACCCAGTGCCTCTCCAGGCCCAGATCAAGCCAACAGGGGGAGAACATAATATCTGCAGGAAGCTACTCTCAAAGCCAAAATCCCAGAAATTGCTCTTTTCCAGGAAAGCCAACTTACCTAGGGCCCCCGTGGTCTAGTCCTGCATCTCCTTTTCCATAGAGTTGAAGGGCAGCATTTATCAGCCAGTGCCCCTGCCAGCCCCTCCTGCCTGTGCAGGGGAGCAGCATACAATTGGGTGAAAGAGCAGAGCTGGCAGCATCGGCTGTCCCTGTGGTGCCCACTTTGTGGCATCCTGTGGAGGGGTTAGAAAAATAAAGACAGATGGCGGCTCCACCTTCCCATCTGCCAGCAAGCCAAGGTGGAGGAGACGTCCCAAAAATGAACAAAGTGAGATCATAGACTGCTGGAGCAGCACAGAGTTGCATAAGAAGTTCATCTTGGAACCAATTCTGTGATATTTCTTGACATGTTTTCTTCTCTCTCCCGTCCTTATTTTTCAAATGATGGTGCTCACTCGAAATAATGCAGCTCTGTGCTTCTTTCTCAATTCTCTGAACTCATGTAGAGTCTTAATAACTACATGTTAAATGAATAAAGGCAGGATTGAAAGATAGCTTTTAACATCAGGGATTCGGGGGAAAGTGATAAAGAAAAACTTTGAAGAAAGAATTTCCTCATTCAAACATTACTCCACTTGGCCTTAACTAGTCCAGCTTCCCTCAGATTTTGTCCACCACTGTAATCAAAAGTGATAAAATGCAAGTTAAAGTGCAGGAGAAAAAAAATCCTGGAAACACAACAAATCCTTGACAGTGGAGGAAGTAGGAGTGGTTTCAAAATCATCAAACGACATGGGCTGAATAGAGCCACTGACTAATCTTCCCCAAGAAGACAAGTAATTGCTGGAAAACAGTCACATAAACTGGCATGTTTTAGAGTTTCTTTACAGTGGCATTTTGTTGTTGATTGCCTTTGAGTCAAGAATGACTCATAGCGACCATATGACAAAAGGCATGAAGCCCCTCTACAACTATCAACATTTTTCAAAGTTAACAGTGTTTCCAGAGAAATGTTGTTTAGGAAATGGATACCACTCCTGCTTCCAAACCTATCGTAGAATGTTGGGTTGCTTTTGGTACAACTCAATGTACAGCCGCTCTGAAACCTTCCCTGTCCTGAGCCAGTCTCACTAATTCTGACACACCAACCCCCATTGCCCCAGTCATAGTATCAATCCATCTCATCTAGAGTCTTCTTCTCCTGGTCTGTCTGTTCACCCTTCTGAGCATGATGTCCTCTCCAAGGACCCACCTCTCCTGGCCACATACCCATAGGAAGTAAGATAGAGCTTCAAAATCCTATTCTCCAAGGAGAGACATGGTTTCACCCTCTCCATGGTATGTTCAAGAGTCTTCTCCAGCACCACAACTCAAAGGCATCTATTCTCCTTCTGTCATCCTTGATCATTGTCCAACTCTCTGAAGCATAACAAGGAATTTAGAAGACCATGGCCTTGATTAGGGGCCCCTTTATATCTAGACTGACATCATTGGTCTTTAATACTCATTATATATTATGCATTTTTCATCTAATAGAGAGTCAGGTTCATTGGGTGTCTGTTCCCAACCATTATGCTTCTTCAGTGCCAGTGACACAGATGGCACACAGGGCAGCTGATCAAGGCTGCATCAACAGGAAGTCTGTAAAGTTTCAAACAGGTCACCAACCCAAGATGCTCAGACTCCCTGGAAATTAGCCATTCTATCCATCCAGATTGACAGACTAGGAAGAAGGATTGGCCATCCACTTCTAAAATAGCAGGTCTCTGAAAACCGTATGTACAAAGTACTCAAGAGCAACAGTGTCTCTCTGGAGACTAAGGTGCGCCTGATACAGGCCATGGTCTTTGCCATCACTTGTTATGCATCAGAGAGTTGGACAATGACTAGGGAGGATAGAAGGAGAATTGATGCCTTTGAGCTGTGGTGCTGGAGAAGAGTATTGAATGTACCCTGGACTGCCAAGAAGACAAACAGATTCATCCTGGAGAGGGTTAAACCAGGCTACTCCTTGGAAACAAGGATTCTGGGGCTTCATCTAACATACTTTGGACATGTTGTAAGGAGAGACAGGTCCTTGGAGAGGGACATCATGCTTGGTAGGGACAGCGCAGGAGGGGAAGACCCTCTATGAGGTGGATTGATTCAGTGACTGGGATAATTAGGATGGATGTGTCAGAGGCAATGTGATTGGCACAGGATAGAGCAGGGTTTAGGGCTGTTATACATAGGGTCGCTATGAGTCACAAACGACTCGACGGCACATAACAACAACAACAACATCCATCCAGATGATAGAAAATCAGAGGAAGAGAGAATGTAAAGACTCTTTATCCTCAAAGGAACCACTCTCCATGCTCTTCTGTCTGACACATGGGTGGTGGCAAAGGGTATGAGAAGGAATTTCCCACTCCCTGTCCCCAGCACACTTCTGGCTATGCCCACTTTTAAGAATCACTACGCACAGATGATCCCCAGTGCTTCCCATTCTGTGTAAAGATACCTCTCTGAAAAAAAA